TGGCCTTGTTGAAACCACAAGTACTACATGCAGTACTGGAGTTTATATTCTTAAAAGGATGCCATGAAAAGGAAGATACATAAAAGAGCTACAGAAGTTACTTGAGGATTGAAATAAGTATCTTGGAGCAATACACAAGTGGATCTGTTTATCTAATCGAAAACGATAGATGGTGACTTGATTACTGTGCTTCTTTGTGGGAAGAAAATACTGCTTAATAAAAGCTCTTTACTCAAATGGAGGAAGGCAATTTGAGAATTGCTTTTTTTCTGCCTTTTTTTAAATTTTTTTTTTTTTAAATAGAGTGAGGCCGATTAGCTATTAGAACAAATTACCAGAAAGTAGTGGAGCCTCTGTGGCATCTTTGAAATGGCTTTTTTTTTTTTTTTTTTTTCCCCCTCTTTCTTCTTTACTGCAACAAACTTCTGAGCTCAATACAGGGTAAGACCTCTCTAACAGGTACAGAAAATTAAATTACGTGGTCTAACGATCCCTCTGGTTTCAAGGCTACAAAAAGATTCATAATGCTTAAGTTTCACAACTGGTGCTACCTGCCAGTGCAAAAGGTCTGCTGCCGGCCTCAGCCGCTTAAAACATACTGTTCCCTTGGTGTGCTCTCAGTTGTGCAATGTATCACATTCCCAATCACCTGCCAAGAACGTTAGTAGTCAATACATGATTCATACTAGCAGCTCCTTAACAACAAACAAAGGCTTAAGCATTATTAAGTCTTCCTAAAATGGCTGCCTTAAATCTTAAGTGAATCAAGACACTACACACAGGTAAGAGACCACCTGATCATGCCTTTACCAAATTTATCTTTTGCTGATCAGTAAGTCCAAACATTTTTGCCAGCAGAACCAAACTCAATGCAGTAGTTTTTAGGAGTTCTGCTAATGACCCCTCCCCAGTGTCGCTATCCTTCACTGACATAGCCAGTATTTTCCTGGGATGCATCCCATTTGAATAACTTGATTTACTTGTATGTAAGTGAGAGATCTCTAAATTCATTCCCTCAGCCTGAACATCTTGTTGCAGCAGTAGCAATTCTTTTCAGTATTGCCCTTTCTGACAGAAACAGATAAAAAAAGCAGAAGTCCAAAGGCCAGCTACATTAAAAACTAACTCGTACACTTCTGTCATGTGCAATTGCACTGCCTCAGGCCAACAAGCAAATTTAACTAGCTGAGGAAGTGTCCCACAGAAGTACCACCTTCCACATTATTTGAGACTTGCCAGCTCCCAAAAGGTAGAAAAAACGAATGGGTTGCTTGCTTCTGTTTCTCCAACTTCACTTTTCTCAGCGTGGGAATGGAACATCCCGACTGGACTCCTGCTCCCAGCTAGCAGCGCCTCATAGGACACCCACTGGGAGGTAGGACAAAGCACAGTTAGGTCCTGCTCCTTCCACCTATAGAAAGCGTTTCACCAAAACTGGGTAGGCTGGTATCAAGATAACAACAACAGCATGTTATCACATGAATGCTGCATTGCGATTTAAAAATATGAAGGAAAAATGAATGAGACTTGACGAGAAAAAAAGAACATGTTACGAAACTAAAAATAAAAAAATACCCAAGAACATTTTTCTTTGAATTCGCTTTACCTATTCTTCCAGGTGCCCTCAACTACCGCATATTCCTGAACTCCTACAGGCACAGTCTTTTTATTTTCTGTAGTCTCTGAGTCAGGAATTTGCTCTTCCATGAGTCTAAGAAACAACAAAGACCCCTTTGCAACTCTACATAAAAATTTGGATTTAATATTAAAGAACTTCAGTGAGAAACTGTAATCCAGCACACTGTTTTGTCCACAGATAAAATTATTTCATAGATTATATTCTATTATTGTAGCTTAAAGAGTATCCAAGAAGAAACATTGCAGCAAAAATAAAATCAGTTTACCTTTTAGAGGGAACAAGGTTACATTTTTAGCATTCTTGTTTTAATGCAAGATACAGTATTTCCTATTGTTTCACCTGTCCCAAAAGAAGCAGCAAGAACTCCACAATTTAACTTCATCTTATGAAACTTAAACCCAAAACAAATCAGAACTAAGCTACCGCTTCCTAGTAAGTGAAGGAACACATAATTAAAGTTTCCTGGATTCTCCTTTCATATAGAACACCCTTTTAAACAGGATTGTGTATCTCAAGTGACTACTCCTGAAGAAATATTACTCAATAAATAGATAATAAAAACAAATTTTGATCTCTGATTTACGAGCTTTACGCCATGAGGCTATTGAGTATATGACCACAATTTGATGGATGATAAAAAAGAAACTCTCTGCATCATTTCCTCTCTTGACTGTCTAATTCCTGTCACTCAGTCCAGTCAACAGAAGGCTGACATGAGCACACCATCATAGTGACCCAATTTCTCCAAAACAGCCAAGGGAGTTTGTAAAAACTAGACACCTTAGAACAACAAATTAGAGTGTTGGATAAATTTAATTTTTACTATTTTCTTGAAAGGCAAGGCAAACTTAGATTTTTCTTATCATTACTACAGGTTCATCAATCACCTACTTAGATGAAGAAAATAAACCTGAAAGAGCAGCTTTATTCCCCCTACCTCTGGGAAACATACAAGAGTGCATATGCTTAAATTAAATACCATAAAAGACATACACATTAGTAAACTTAACCATGTCCCTCAACCTCGTAGGATTAGCATAGATCTCTAATTCTGCCATCCATATTTAGACAGCACAAATAAGGGACTTCAGCTGCAGCATGAAAGATCTAGCATTAAAGGGTAGTAAAACACTAGAGCAAACAGAAAAGGGCATGTAAGAAAAATCTTCCTATGGGGAGATTCACGAACAAATTAGGCAAATACCTGGCAAGAATGACATTTATAGTTAAACCTACTTTGCAAAGTGAACATAGATTAAAAGCCTCCAAAGATCACTTCAAACTTAATTTTTCTTGATTCTGTGATAAACTGTAGAGTCAAGTAACAAACCAATCCTAATATACGTCTCCCAAAATTCCAGATGCATTTGTTAACTGTTAAAAAAGGGGCCGTAGTCCAAAACCTACTCTTCCTGAACACTGAGATTGGGATCAGCTAAAAGAGATCACTATCCAACAGTCAATACTGTCACTAAGCAACACCAGAACACTACTTACTGCTATCACGGTTGAGTACGTTTGTTTTGAAATACTAGAGGAAAATATTAAATCTAAAAAATGAGCAAGTAAAGCCATTATTCAATAATCTATCCAATGTAAAACCAGACAAATATTTAAGACCCTAAAAAGGGACAATATAACGCAATCCTAGTCTACTTTACTGGTATGCACTATATCAACATCTAATATGCACCACATCTTGATTTATTCATAGATTTTACACAGCAGCTGAGTAAATTTGCCCCAAAAGTTCTGGGCTGATACCTTAATAAGAACCTGTCTCAGTTGCAGTAGTGTTCAGAGGCCTGCATTTTAATGTTTTCTTTAGAAGTCACTTAACTGCTTGTATAAAAGTGAATGTTATAGGTTTATTTACCTAAAAAGTCTCATGAGACTTCATTTGTCTTCTTCGCAAAATACAGAAAGGGAGTGTTCCTTTAACATCCAAAAGGAGATCACATCAAAGAATAAGTAGAGATTTTACAGCATGGAGGGAGAGGAAGGGTGCTTCACTATCAGAGAAGCAGCTTGAATCTGACGTGGGGAAACAGAAACCCAGTGAACTGTCCAAAGAGAACTGTGTAATTAAACAAATTTAAGGATAGTCTAGAAACAGACTCTGGATTCTGAACATGAATCCTACCTAACACAGAGAAAAGCACAACCTAGAAGTTGTGCATTAGAACACCTTCCTATCCATAATCCCAACAGTATCAACTTCTACCGTTACTTCTTCCCCAATCCAAAAAATGACTTTAAACCATTTTCACACCAAGAAAGAACATTCTTGATGTGCCATCAGTCATGCTGTACTTTGCTTCAGTCTCTTGAGCTACTTTGATAGTTTTACTTTTATTCAGACTCAGAATGGAGCTCAGAATAGAGTGCAGACCCAATTTCCAAGCTGAAAATTCATCCCTATGGGTACTGTTTTCAAAGGCAAGAAGTATTTGCCTTCCTGTACCTGCAGGTTGTATCTCACGTTTTCCTTACATTTAGGCAGTCTCCAGGCTGAAATAGATATAGTAGTTTAATAAACACTGGTTATCAAGTGTTTTACTTGCTCAGGCTCACCTGGATATTTTCTTCGCTATAGACTGCCCCTAGCACCACACGACAGTGACACACGGTTTTGTTCCACAGGAACACAGCAATTGAAAAAACTAAATGAATTTATCTTATCTAAGCTTAGGACTTCTAAGACAGACAGAATCAATTTAATTCTGGCAACATCATTCAGAAAACCATGTTTTTAACTGAGGTAAAGTTAGCGCCCACTTCTTTGCAGATCATGTGCTTCTTCTCTTGTATCCTTTGACAATGCTAAATATTGGTTCTGAAGTTACTTGGTCACAGTTTCTCACCAGAAAGCCTCTCAACGCTAAGGGAATGGTATCTCTCCCCTTCAACCAGCTGAATGTCTGTTCTAATTGGGAGAGGTAAATTTGAAAGGTTGTTAAGTCTTTCCCCAATTCCTCAGAACATCAGGAGTAAGACTTCTCAAAACAGCTTTATTTAACATTTACTCTTAAAAATAATATGACTGTAAGCAGGTGTAATATGAACATAAATCTGGCACTTGAATGGGAGGAGCTGAAGACTTTATCTTCGGTTACACTTTTGTAACATCAGTGGCATTGTATGGCTGTGACCAGATGTTGAATCTGGTCTTCAAACTCTCACAATGGAAATGAACCCACAGAGACGTACATCCTCATTTTGCTTATGTTGCAAAACAGTGACACCCACTGGCAGCAACAGTTTAAATATTTAATTGTTGCAACTTGGATCTACATGATCTGAGTTGCCAAGAAGTTTCTCTGGAGAAAAATTAATCATAGCAACAACCATACAGACTTACCTGTTGAGTCAGCACTACTGTCTGAGTTTTCAGAAACTGAAATACTAACAGCAGCATCTGGAGTAACAGCAACATAACCCTCCGGAGGAAGACTCACTGTGTACATTCTCCTTGGAGACAGAATGGTATTGTCACTGCCTACAAAACAGAAAAAACAAAGTGTCTGGCTATTGATCTCAGCAGAGATTTTCTCAAACGTTTTCCCAACCACAGCAATGATGAAAGTGGTCTCAAAAATCCTTATAAAGGAAAATGAAGTAAGAGACAGTCAGGTGTGGAACACTGAAATTATCCTATGATCAACAAAATTTCACTGAATTGTGCAGCAGCTACAAATAAACAAATACTCCACAGGTTAGTTCTTTCCACCAGAAACACTTTTTTTCTTTGCATCAGACAACTCTTCTGCCCTAACTTCAGAAGAAGCTTCCACTTTCAGTGATATTTTAAGAAACACTCCATACATTTTTCCCCATTCAGCATGAGCAGACACTATTTCTTTAAGAACCGTTTCATAAAAAATGGATGAGAGATACAAGCTGATTACGAAGTGATATTAGCAACAGAAAAAGAATCACAGCACTGTGGTTTGTCCATATGCAGACCTTTCAAACGTAGCCTGTGTTGTTCAGAAGGGTGCAAAGATAAAGGGAGTTCGAAAGCCACATGTGACTAAGCCCCAGGAGGGCTCATCTACTCGTCCTTTCTCTGCCCTTTTTTTTTTTTTTCTCAACTATTTCATCGTATAGGAAACTACTTGTGATGACGGCAGTAGACTGTTTCTGTAGTATTTCCATCTTTCTCTTTAGAAGGTATTTAAAAATACGTGTAAGACTGGCAGTGTGAACTTTTCATTTGTTCACCAGACAAGAAGTAACTCTGTAGGAATGACAGAGATGGGTCTCTGCTACAGTGACACAAAACCAGTCCAAACCAGACTGCATTTTCTTTGCTCAAGTAATGACAGCAGTGGAGCTCAACCACAGGGAGACAAAAGCCTTTCCAGAAGGCCAGGATGTTCAAGGTGTCTCCAGGCGCTGCAACGTAATCTTAGATGGTTCAGTGCGTTCTTTTTACACTCAGCCAGCTCCATAAACCAGCACAGACACAGCACTACCCTGCCCTTCTCGGGGGCAATTTACCCCTTTAAAAACACACAGACAGAACTATTAAAATAATATACGGTAAAAACATCGTTGACAGGTGGACAAATTCCCCTCCTTACACCACAAACTTGCTAGAAGACCCCAGATGATCTGAGTCTATTACCAAGCTGCAGCTATGACTGGACTAATACCTAAACATTTAAAATGCAGTTGTGTGACAAAATTCTTGTTAGGGATCTCTGTTTGTAACATGTAATTTAACTATACACTGACATTCCTCAGATAACACACTTCAAAGAGTTCAGCATGACTGATCATCTTAGATATCTATGATAAAATACACGAGAGAACATTGAAGGCACTTTTGAAAAGCTACATCATAGGTGTTTTCATCATCAGGAAGTAATAATTTGGTTTTGAGGACACATTAGAAAGGTTTTTATTGAAAAAGCCAGAAAATTTCAAACTGATTGATGATGCTTACTTTAAAGGATAATAAAGGAAAAGAAACAAATAATACAGAAAGATGAAAAGCAATTATGTGATTTGGAAAAAGACCCACTAAAAAAAAAAAAATTTGGAGTAATTCTTCAGCAGATCCCTTTTATGAAGTTAATGCCAAATCACTGAACTGGCAGTACTTGCATTGATTCCCTCCTTCCTCCCCCCCCAGCTGATTAATGATGAAGTACTAATTGGTGATAGTTTTAAATTACAAGGATATATAAATGTTTTTTGAGTTATTCCTTTCAGAACAATTTCAATCATCTTCTTCACCTCATATGCATCTTCAAGTAGTTTACAAACCATAAATCAAACATTGGTCTTTGCTAATCCTGTACAAGTATCAAACCAAACTGTTACCACATCATAAAAAAATATACATACAACTGTATAATCTCAGTATATCAATAAATCTTCTAGTCTCAAGCCATTAAGTCTTGATTTTTCCAGCCTGGGGCCATAGTCTCCTTGGGCTGAGAAGAGATGGGCTGCTTACAGTGTCATAAACATTGTTAGAAAGCAAACGGCTAAGCTTATAAAAACGTAACATAAAAAGGGTTTTTTGACTAAAGAATGTAATCAGATACTGGAGATATTCAAGAATGCTTCTCTTTCTACTAGTTAAAAGTCATGGATCCCATTTATGACATTTTATTTGGGGGGGTAGGATCTAAAGGATGTTTACAAAACAAAAAAAAAGAACAAGCATTACTCTTAAAGGCAAACTATGAACATGGAATAAATATTTTGAATCGAGTTGTCTCCTGTTCATATTCTTCTTCACAACATTCCCCACATGAAGAGCTCCTTTGCATGTAAATCAACCCTATGCACAGAGTAGGGAAGTGCATCTAAACTACGCCGTTACCAGGGTTACATCTGCAAGTATGTCGGTAGCTTGGCTAGCTATGTTACCTCTTGCTATCCCACTACAAACAAGTATCAGACCTTTTAAGAAAGAGCTGAGAGTAAAGCTTCCATCTCGCCTTAGCCATGTAGAATTGCCGACTGACGAGTCTGTTGTCATCTCAGGTAGGCACAGTATACTTTGTTTTAAGGCTATTTTTCAGTATCCTTACACTTTCCCCTACCTGTAGTGCAGAATGGTGGCACATACCACTAGCGTGACTTCCAGACTGCCTGAACACCGAGGTGTGCCCAAGCATGCTCTAATACAGGAATGGCCAAAACGCATCTTCATACAATCTGGATCGTCTCCTTGCTGGGAAGGCTGATTAAACACTGGGCAGAGACTGAATCACTTTCAGTTCTCCAGCTAGCAGCCTAACTTCCCCCAGGATGCTCGCTCACTTCCCCCTTGACAGCACGAGGGCAGGGTGGGGAAAAAAATGAGAAGAACAGGAATGAGAGAGCTCATGAGTCAAAGACAGGGCGATTGCTTACCAGCTGCTGCTGCTGTGGGCAAAACAGACTCAAATTGGGAAAATTAAACTTAATTTACTGTCAATTGCTTGAAATACTTACCTACTGACTCAGGTATCAGGAAACAAAAAACAAACCAAAAAGGTAAACATTAAAATATTTAGGAGAAAACACCTTTCCTCCCCAGCTCATCTTCACTCCAGACATCTCTCCTCCCTGCTTACCATCGCCACAGATTCCGCTCAGTCCCTTCAGTGAGGCAGCGAGCAGTGCACAGTGGTGGGTGTTCACAGACAGTACATAGTGGTTTCTCCTTTATCCTCCTCCCTTTTCACTATTTCCTGATGCCAGTGCAGGTTGTCCAAGGGCTGCAGTCCTTTAGGAACATTAGCTCGGCCACAGAGCACCTCCTCCTCCGACCTCGGTGTTGCCACTGATTTTTTCCACAAAATTATCCCTTGGAAACACCCAGCTATCACTTCTCCAAAAGGAAGAGAGTTCCTTCCCACAAAAGAGATCTTTACAGAAAAGAACAGGAAGAGAGGGGTTGATGCTGGATCGAATCCAAGGTCTGATTAGTTCAGTGTCATGACTTCTACAAAAGTGATCTTAGTAAGCACTTACTGCATGGTGTTAACAGTAGATATGGTCTCGACAAAAATAAGGCTTGAAGAAGGTCTGTTAATCTCCTTTAAAAAGCTTGTATTAAAGCACGTTTCTACTTATGATGTAAGCTATTCCTCATTTTTATTATATACAAGTGAGATTCTGGGCAAGAAAGGTTTGTCTCCTCCAAAAAATCTCCACAAAATGAAGCGTAGCAAAGGTGGTATCAATAACTAACTGTAGAACACATGCACCTTGAGGGTCCTCCTGAGCTGTGGTACTGAAAAATAGGTACTTTTCCTGTTGACCAATGCAAAGACATCAAGTAGTCCTTCATCAGCATGAACATTGTAAAACAAATCTGGTGATCCTAGATACCCCACACACTTTCTGCAAACGCAGAACCTTTTAGCTCAAGTAGTCTCCTCTGCAATCGGAAAGTACAATCCTTTTCCTTGGAGTGCTGCACAACTCCCACTGCTTGACCTTAGTCTTCAGCAGGATTTTCTCCCTCAATACCAGATAAGTCACATTGGGTAGAGAGAAAAAACGATGATGATGATAATAAGCAACCCAGTAAAGAATGGACAGTCACTTACTGCTGGTCATTTGTTTTACTCAAATGATAACCATCACACAATAATGGAAATGTTGTGCTACTTTGCTGGGCAGTTGGAGTAGCTGATGAATTGTTTCTGTACAGATTCACTACTGCAAGTAGGAGCTTGCGCCTCACAAAGTTATGGAACTCCCTTTATAGAGAGCTAATAAAAAATAGTTTACTATTACAGCCTAATTCCTTTAGCTTGTTTCAACACCTCTAGTGCCCAGTCTCACTGAATTAACTACTAGAAAAATTTCTCTTATCTGCAAATATTAGTTTCCAATCCATCTCCCTCATTATCTGTACTTTATTGGAATAAACAAGGAGAGTCATTCAAGCCAGTTTTTGGCTGAAGAAAATACACTCTTGCCAAAAAGTCTTCATCTCTTTCTAAACAAAAAAAGTTTACGGAATGTCTTTTGGGCACCTAATTGTCTCATGTTATCTTATTTGCTACTGTCACGTATTTCATTAGCATGACTACCTGTAATAGAATACTGAAAACGTATTTTCTTCTGCAAGGTTCAGTTCAGCTTTAAAATTTTGAGGATGTCTGCTATCTGTTTTGAATGATAAATATCCCTGCTTGCCAGGTAAACTTCAAAGTGTATAGTTCTATTCCAAACTGCACAGTTACACAGATTCAAACAACAAATTCATGAAAAAAAAAAATCAGATAAACAGATACATGCTGTCCTCTGGCTCAGAAAATCCTCAAGCAGCAAACTGTTGTGAGAACATTGTGGGGAAGTAGTACAATGCGTTCATTTTATTCCAATACTCTGAGTGACCAATACTATTGGTCACTACATACTAGCATAGACAGCAGTACTGAATTTTTTGGATTGATCTTAATTTCTGCTACTTCATTCAGTTATCTTTAAATCTACAAAATCCACTATTCTTTGATGTTCAAGAAATAGCATGTTTTCACT